TCTGACTACTTTTTACTTTTACTACATTTATAAACAAATATCTGTACTTTCTACTTCTTACATTTTCTAAACCGGCTCGTTACTTTTGCTTTATCGCATTTTGGTCGAGTTATTATTTCGTCACTGCGAGCCTCCAAACATCCAAACGATTTAAACCTGAAGAGAAACACATGGTAGGCGGTCCTGTTCGATTATTATTCACCAGAGGATGGTAATCTCATGGTAATCTCATGGTAATCTCATGGTAATCTCATGGTAATCTCATGGTAATCTCATGGTAATCTATGGGGCCTTATAAGGCTCACTGGTCTTAGATTTGATGGTAGGCTGAAGGTTTCAAACTTTGATCCTCGTGCTTCTCTTTCAGCTAATATAATCTAATTAATGCTATTTAAACATATGTGAGGGTGTAGGAACACAACAAAGCACATGTCAACAAAATATGAAACACTTAATTTCTGTGAATCCAGCGGACATGTTTTTGTTTTTTACGCTTGACCATGTCCGAAGTTATAGTTTGACTCAGGATCAGTTACAGGCGAGGTCTTCACCTACCGCCTGCGGTTTTACTTCCACCAGCTGCTCCAGCTGCTTCACTCGAGGCTGGAACAAGCAGAGAGAAAAATGTATGTTGATTATTATAATAACAATCTTTAATAGTAATAATTACGTGACCATGTTTTGGACTGATAGAATAAACAAAGTCCTTCTATTCACAGGATAAAAGGCTACTCGCAGTTTTAAAATGCTTTAAAAATGTCGTAAAATAAAGTTCACCTCATTTGTTTCTAATTGGTTGAAAAACTTAAATGATGCGTTTATGGACCAGAAATCGTTAAAAACAAAAAAACTAAGTTCTCTTCTTTAGGTTAGTACTATCTGGCTCCAGTGGAGATACATGTGTGTAAACTGCCTTCAGACCCAACCTGTGTAAAATTGTTTCATAGCAAACAGGTTGAATTTTGTGCACTTTCAAGATAAAAAGAGTAAAAATGATTATGCAGGCACAGCGCAACGACGTGGGCCAGTGATGTGTTTTTGAAACACTGTAGGATCAGGTCATGGTTGCGTTTCTTCATTTCTTTGGATCGAGTAAAAGCCTTTTATGCTTTTGTGTCTGTTGTTGCACATTTAGATACAACAACTGGTTAAATGTACAGCTACTCAAGGAAATAATAACGGGAACAAAATGTTGACG